GCTCAGTGGTCAGCTCTGGTCTTCATCTTACTGTCATCAGAAAAAGATCTGGATGTGTTTGACCTGAAGAAATACTCTGCTTCAGAGGAGGCTCTTCTGAGGCTGCTGCCAGTGGTCAAAGCCTCCAACAAAGCTCTGTAAGTAATATTAAATCAGGCATGATCAGTTCAAAGAACACTTAAAAATACATTAAAATAGGGAATTAAATGATCATCACTCACTTGGTCAACTATGATACCTTTAATGTTTCAGTCCAGCTGGACCTGTCAGCATTTCTGAGAAATTTTTTTCTGTAGCTCTTATCAAAGGACAATCCAGACCCAGCCTATAATACTATGGGCTCTGATCCTTCAGCCCCTCTTACGGGTTCATTATCCTCAGCTTGCTCACTTAATTATTTTTTTCTAAAGCATATACCTATGTTATGTTGTGGAAACTCTTAAATAAAACTGCAACTACCAGCTAAGTGTGTCTTTTGAAGTGAGGTTTATTAAAAGAAAGAAAGATGAAAAACACTGCAGTGGAGAGAACGTTCAGATCAATCACCAAACATTTTTCTGACGAAGCACACCACCCTGAAATATTTTATATCTGCCCAAACACTCTTAAACAAAGAACATTCCATAGCATATCATAAATCTCTATACCTTCAGTCCAGCTCATTCTTTACCCCCTCCTACTCTAACAAAAGTTATGACCACCCATCACCTCATTAAGAGCAGGATGTCTGGAGATCTTCAAGTCTAAAGTGGACTGTCTGTGAAGGTGCAATAAAACCTAAGGCCCAATTGTGATAACATTCTACATGCATACAACTGGTGTCAGGAGTCATCTTGCTAAACTAAAGAGATATGATTAAAATATGTGATTAATGCACGAGAAAAGAAATCTGCCACCAGTTACAAGATTGTATCTTTTCCTGATGTTTATAATCCAAGTTCTGGTTTCTGTCTCACCTTAAGTGCACACTCATTTTTTTTTATATAATTCTCTGCTATGGCTGTCCTGATTATATCCAGTATAGAGGAAAAACCTTGGGCATCATAATTAAAATTGCCATCAAAGTCCTGTTTCTTGTCAGTAACTGAAATTGTCCAATCGAAAACACGTTGGTATTTAGGGAGGGCAGGATTTTAAAAGGCAGCTTGTTTTTGACAAAAACTAAAACAAGAGTCTGCACCAAGTCCATCATGTGAGCAATTATTTACAGCCACATTTACTGTAATCACAGATATTAGAATTAATGAAGTGACCAACAGTACTGTAGTAAGTTTAGTACTGTAGTAACTGTAGTACTCTAGTACTCACAGGCCTGAGCCAGCAGACACTGAACTAGTGTCACTAAATCTACCCGCTCTTCTCTGGTTTCCATTTAGATACACTGGTATAATTGTGTTTAAAATGAAATATTTTTCTTCTGTTAGACTTAAGTTCTTGAACATTTTTTTAATTTAATTTTGCATTGTAGTGTACTCATTTGTACTCATTGGATTACCTAGGTTCAACATATAAAGTGATTATATTTGATGATAAATATTGTTTTGTTGTTCTCGTTCTTGTTGTTTTTTGCAGGCTGAGCAGCTGTAACCTCTCAGAGAAAAGCTGTGAAGATTTGTTGTCAGTCATCAGCTCCCAGTCCTGTAGTCTGAGAGAGCTGGACCTGAGTACCAACAGCCTCAATGATTCAGCTGTAAAGCTTCTGTCTGCTGCAATGGAGAGTCCACACGCCAAACTGAATATCCTGAGGTCAGATCAGAATTTGTATTTTCTTTTGTTTGTTTATATGTTTGTTTGTTTTTTCTTTTTATCAAGTGAGAAAATTTAGCCAGTAAAGGTAAACTTTACCATTTATTGTTGTTTTGTACAATTTTTATCCATTTCTATGTTAAAGTGAAGTTTTACTAACCTACTCAGCACATAACAAACAGGATAAGTTATTACACCTTGATTACACTTTAACAGCAGTCTTTCTTGATGTTTTTATTTTCAGACTCAACATCTGTGAAATCTCAGAGAAAATCTGTGAAGCTCTGTCCTCAGTTCTCAGCTCTGGGTCCTCTAGTCTGACAGAGCTGGACCTGACCATCAAAAACCTGCAAGATTCAGGAGTAAAGCTTCTGTCTGCTGGAGTACAAAGTTTAAACTGTAAACTGAATACTCTGAGGTCAGATCAAATGTCATTTGTTTTTTTTTAAATGAACCAATTAAAGATTTTGTCCATGTTCATCCATATGATGTTGTGTCTTAGAATATTAAGGTTTCCTTTAAAAATAAAAAAGGTGCCGCATGTAATGTAGTAATATAATAACAAACTTTACATGAGTATTTGTTTTATAGTTTGTCTTTTATTTTTTTAGACTGACTGGTTGTAATCTCTCAGAGAGAAGCTGTGAAGCTTTGTCCTCAGTTCTCAGCTCCCAGTCCTCTAGTCTGAGAGACCTGGACCTGAGTAACTCTGACCTTCAGGATTCAGGAGTGAAGCTTCTGTCTGCTGGACTAAAGAGCTCACAGAGTGCAGTGGAAACTCTCAGGTTAGGATTCAAACTTTTCCACATATGATCATTTAAAATGTGAATTATATTATTAATTGACTTATTAATAGAACTTTCAGCTGAACTGTCACTTCATATTATCCTCAAAAATGGAATTATCAGGAACCTGCTGGAGTCACACACCCATGTTTAGGGGTCTCTGCCTGAGTGCTGCAATTACCACTGGGACCACTGTTGCCTTCACCCTTCACAACCTCTTGAGCTCAAAACATGTTTCACAATTTAGATTGTTCAAAATATCCCCCCTTTGCTTTGATTACTGCACTTTGATGTATTCAAGTCTTTATTATAATTCACAGCATCCATCCATTCAGGCACCCATTTTCCTAACCACTTATCTAGAGCAGCAACAAGAGCTCCGTGATGTTATAGAGTTGGAGTTCGGGTATACCTTGAACAGCCTACCAGTCCATCACAGGGCAGTGTATATTTATACTCATTACTTCACAAATCAAATATTCACGTTAAATGTATAATCTTCCTTTCACTCAATGTTTCATACATTAACTGTAACGATACATGACCTTTTTTTCCCTACTACATTATAAACATTGAAAATGCATCTATGAGAAACTTTTTTCTGCAGTGATGAGCTAGCAACATCACACTAAAGGTGATTCCTGCCCAGCCTCTCTTGCCCTGAAGAAGCATGAGCAGCTTTTCTTTAAGTCCACTCGGTCCCTCACTAGCCCAGGACTGGTGAGGCAGACAACCCTGTTGACAACTGCCAATGGGACAAGGAAAGTCTGGGTCTGCTCTTTGCCGCTTTTACCTCTGTGGCACTTAATGTGGCTGTCCTTCTAACCCAGGGGTGTCAAACTCCAGGCCTTGAGGGCCGGTGTCCTGCAGGTTTTAGATGTGTCCTTGATCCAACACAGCTGATTTAAATCGCTAAATTACCTCTTCCACATGTCTTGAAGTTCTCCAGAGGCCTGTTAATGAACTAATCATTTGATTCAGGTGTGTTGACACAGGTTGGGATCCAAAACCTGCAGGATACTGGCCCTCGAGGCCTGGAGTTTGACACCACTGCTCTAACCACTTGTCACTTGCATTGTGACAGTGCTTTTTCTCCATTCCCAGCACCTTCATAGGGTATTGGTCCTGTTAGAGCCTCTGGACATGGTACCAATGGTTACTTCCTCTTTAAAAGCTGGGTTCTTTTATTTATTGCCTTTGACAAACAAGTGGCCAAAAGTCCACATTTCATCACTCATCCAAGTGACTTCTTCAGTCTCAGCTGACTGCAGGTTTCCCCAATCTTATAAACAGTACATTTGCATAATGACTGAAACCAGCTCACTGAAGGAACAATGGGCTGGGAGGTCAGTTCCTTAATCTTAATTATGCAAATTCTCATGACCATTGATCAACAACCACTGACCAAAACCCACTGATCAAAGCCCACTGATCAATGGCCATGACTACCATTCAGAGTTGGGGAATGGCTGCAATCACAGCATTGTAAGATGGCGAAAGATGTACCAAGAAGGTGTTTGACTTAACTGAGAAGGTTCGTCTAGCACAGCACAAGAAGTCTAAGACCAGGCAACAAAGGAAGTTTGACTTACTTCTTGTACGTCGGAAACCACCGCAAAATACGGAGAGTGTCCTCAGTGGCCAGAAGAGAGAAGGATGTGATACCAAGGATGTGGACAAGTGGGTGAAGAATTTGTCTGACAGACAGCTCACCCAAACAGAGAAAAACATCCTTGCTAAAGGGTTGAATTTTGCTGTCACACCGAGACAAATTCCGCTAGTGGAGCTAATCACAGCCACCGAAACAGCAAGCGTTCTCAGTAAAGTCAAACACCTTTTTGGTACATCTGTCTGTGAAGGTTCTCAGTCATCCAGGTCATCGTAGTCAAAGGACCTTGCAAAGAAAAGCGTCTGGACTTCTTTAAGTTGCTTGAAGACGTTTCCCTTTTGCCTTAGTGCTCCTATTTGGGGAAGTCT